TTGGGAGTTACGAACATTTAACCTCAAACCCATGGCCAGGTATGGGTAGATGGTATTGTTCAAACGCACTGCTCATGCAACAAAGGCCGATAGACGGCAGCTCTGATGGGTTAACATGGCGATCACTCCACTAGTTAGACGTTTCGAAAGCAACCGCACCCTGCAGATTACCACCCCCGGCCTCTCCATTCTTGTAGGCAACGATTTGACCTACCTGCATCACAGTGAATACTCACAAATCAGAAAATACCACCATCTTCTTTCCCTTCTCTGTGCAACATGTTACTACAACACTTGAAATTCTCAATATTCTGATTTAACTCACCTTAACATGAACCCTGAAGTTGGATTCCGCTTTGATGACCATTCTGAGAAGAGGCACATCATCAGGATAGGGTGACTTAATAACATTTCTCAGAAAGACAGTGGTGACATGATTGGCTACTGTTTTATTCACCTGCTCATACGACTTAAAAGCAACTGGGTAGTAACACCAAGGGACATCCAGTTTCTTAAATCCATCCATTTCAGTGCGGCTCTCAGTGGGTTTCCAGCAACAGCCTCGTTGAGTACAAACCGATTCGTTGGAAGGTCCGCGTGGGAAACAGTCAAATCTGTCTTCATTTGGAACAATGGCACATTCATCAGCAAGCGCCCAATTAGTTGATGTCATATCATACTTGGAAAGGTCAACAATTCCATCTTGCATAATAAGAGGAATTTCAGATACCTCTGAACTGGTGATAAGATCTATCAATATCAAATCATAGATAATCAGAAGTGCGAAATCCACAATAAGGATGAGCAGAGCAAAAAGGAACAGGTGATAGATACATCGTGAAAACCTGCATTTAGAGCTACCATCATCTTTGACGCTGTTAAAGTCTACGTGGTGATCTGCGTAGTTTCCTGTGAGGAGCGATTTTATTGATCTAGACTCTGAATAAATTTTCATGATGCTGGGGATTGTTATCTACAAGCTGACAAAATGTGATCGCGCTTCTGATGTAAATACTGATCTTAAGGTTTATCACCTTCACCTGCTTGGGCATGAGAGCCGATTGAAGAAAAGACGGCAGTGACAGCACAAGGAAGCGGTGCCCAACCTTCCTCACTCACTGCGCACTGATTCACGACAGAGTTAAGGATTTCCAATTCAGCAAGAAAATACTTCCTCTCATCCTCTCCCAATTCAATACTCGCTGGGAATGACGACGACAGCACCTACCGGCACTTTTACCTTCAAAGTTCAACGGTTGAACTTCACTTGAGCTTCAAGAACCATGTCATGACCGTGAAGGTATACTTAGATCGCTCTTCGCCATAAAATGATAGTCGATTTATTCAATAATGTTTTCACATCAACGACTTCAACACTACACTTCAACAACCTGTAACTAGCCTGTAACCACGGTAAGAGATGGTAAGAGAGCAAAGACCAAGGCCAATCCACATAGAGTCCCTTTATACCCAGAGTTACGACAACTCACTTTTGGTTGGGCCAGGATTGGGCTGAAAGTGGCCTAAAAAAAAACCCAATTCTGATTGGTTCTCGCTCATGGAGGCCGAAACTAGTGCACCAAGATGGCGGTA